AGTTTCCCCATTCCTGCAATGGGCTTCTCTGCTGGCCAGGGGCAGGTCGGGCTGAACAGGACCCAGATCCTGCGCAGGGAAAGGCGGGGAGTTTGGAAGGTGTCTGCTAGGAGAGAGCTTGCGGGACACAGAAGGACCCAGGAAATCCAAACGGACAGGCTGCCTGGCTGGGACCTCTGGGGCCAGGGCCCTGCCTTATGGCTCCTGTACGGCAGTGGAATAAGGGTGGCCCTACTCTAATACATGGGCCTGCCCGGGCATCTTTGCCTCTCAGAGCACATTAGAGACACACGCCCCCTCCTTCCTCAGGGAGAGGCTAGGCTCCATTGGGCCGACTTTAAACAGGGAGGATTCAACCCGGAAAAGGGGGTCCCTGGAGGGGGGCTAAAGGTTCTGATGCAGAGGGTGGAGTGATCAGGCTTTTTATGCTGCCGGTTAACTAGAGCAGAGCAGGTATATTTCAACCGCATACAAGGAACAACTTCCTCGGCGCCTCCCTGCCACGTTAGCGCCCGCAGGTGGACTTCAGCAAAGGGGACGGACGATGCTGAGCCCAATCCGCTGGGCAGGCAGGACTCGGAGCTGGGGGAAATCACAATCCCAGGCTTCAGGGCTAACGTGCAGGGGTCAGGAGGGGATTTCTGCCACCGTGTGCAGCGCTGCCCAAGGGCAAGGCACAGGCTGAGGCGTGCGCCCATCCCCCAAGGTGTCGCTGGCATTGGGAGCGGATGGGGAAGCAGCAGCTTTGGTGAGCCACGGGCCACAGGTGGTACAGAAAATCTGAGCGAGGGATGGGAAGCAAAACCCACGAGAAGTGAAATGATTCAACAGGTGTCTTGACTCCTAATCCCCTCGCCTCCCCGCCCCACCCAACAGAACCAGTGGATCCCACTCCTCTCCCAGAGATGGGGATAGAACTCAGGAGTCCTGGCTCCCAGCTCCAGGCCCAGCCCCTGCTCTATCAGACCCCAGCCTCGCCCAGAGCTGGGGTTGGAACCCAGGAGTCCTGACTGGGTCAGGGTCTGACTTACTGGGCCTCCAACTGGATCTCTGCTAACATCCCTTCTCAAAGGCTGCTGGAAAAGCAGCTCCAGGCCCTCCCGCCACTGTCCCCCCATTCAGCTCCCGGTTCCGATCCGAGCCTGGTGCAGCAGGGTGATTGGGTGACATGAGTTGCCCAGGTCTCAGCAACCCAGGAGGCCACCCCCCAAAGAGCCGCTATTATCACTGGCACTAATTTGGCTCCTGTATGTTAGTTTCACCGTACACGAGGTGGGCACTGGCTCTGGCCCGGACTCAGCCAGGGACTGGTGAGCCCTCACGAACGCTTCCTAATCGAGGCAGGCAGGGCAGGGGTTCTGTGCGCTCTCTGAGCGGCCTGCGTCCCCCCCGCAGACCCCAGCCAGGGGAGCGCTAGTGCCCACAAAGCCGGCAGCACCCGAAAGCCATAACACCAGCAGCCTGACCTCCTTGTACTCATGCCACAAGAAGTGCCAGACCTGGGGCCTTGAACCCTGGTGCCCAGCAGTGAGCATCAGTCTGCCTCTTGTTATTTTCTGGATATGGGGCCAGATCTACTCCTGGTGTCACTCCAGAGTCAATGGACTAACACAAGGAAGGAAGAGTTCTTTCCATCGGCGGCAAAACAGCTGCCGCTTTCCACCCCAGAGGTGGCCACATTTCAGCAGTCAGGGACGTGCAGGTCTAGACTCGGGATGCTCCAGAACTCACCGGGGACTTTCATTGTTATGAGCCAATACTGAGTCGGGGGGAGGAGGGGGCCACAGAGCACTGGTGGGGAATGCCACTTCCCTTTGCGAGCCGCAGCCCCAGCCCCACTGAATGAATCCCTCTAGCTCCTTTCCTGGCAAGCCAGCGTGGGACTCACCCCAGGGCTGGGAGTTTGGCAGAGACGGATCATAAACATGTCAGAGCTGCCTCTTGTCGTTCAAGCATGGGATTCCCAGAACAATTTCTGAGGCCATAGTGGGGCACTGATGACTGCTTTGGGGGTTCAGACGGCCCTTAGAAGGAGCACAGGGACCTGGTGCAGAAGCACATTTCCAGATAAAGAGGTTTGGCTCGGGAGATCATTTTTCCCTGGCAGGGCTGGGGCCAGCGCAGCAGCCGCGGCAGATCGGCTCCGTTTTACAAGAGAGAAGGGTCCGGGGGTTACCTAGACCCCGGCCACTCAGCCTGGGGCGCTTTCTGCCCCCTCCGCACGCTGCGATGCGCAGGGCAGATGTAGAACAGAGCCCAGCTGGGGCTAGTAGAGGTCCCAGCTGAGATCAGGGCGCCAGGTGCTGCACAGACCCAGAGAACGAGAGTCCCTGCCCCAAAGACATGAAGATCGTCCTCCGCATTTCACAGCTGGGGAATTGAGCCCAGAGGGACGCAGTGACTTGCCCCAGGTCGCACAGGGAGGCTGTGGCCGGTTCGGTAACCACAAAACCAACCTGCCTCGGGGCAGACCTGCCTCCCCTGATTGGGCGGGGGACACAGCTAGGTAGCCCCACTGCAGGAGAGCAGCCATCCATGGGGAAATTAATTCGTTCTGTTGGTGCTTCCCCTCTTTTGGGGGTGCATATTCCAGGAGACGGGCTCCCAAACTGGGGGCTGCTCAATAGCAAATTGGCCAGTTAGCCGGGGCCGACTGCTCATTTCCAGATGCTGCTAAAAGCAGCTAAAAATCACAAACTGTCCCAGGAACATGGATCAACAGACTGGACCAGACCAGGGTCCATGTAACCTAGGAGCCTGTCTCCGTGGCCAGCACCAAGGAAGAGGCAAGACTTGCACAGGAGACAGATACAGCAACTCCCCACTTAACGTCCTCTCGCTTAACGTTGTTTCGATCTTACGTCCCTGCTCAATTACAGAACATGCTTCATTTAAAGTTGTGCAATGCTTCGCTATAACGTCACAACTGGCAGTCCCCTGATCAGCTCCCCTACCCCCCCCCCAGCGCCTCCCTCCCGCCCGCCGGTAGACCCCACGGATCAGCGCCTTCCCCCTCCTCCCCCCACAGCAATCAGCTGGCTTGCGGCGTTCAGGAGGCAGGGAAGGGAGGGGGGAGCCTGCGTGCCATGTCCTCGCCCCTGCCCCCTGAACGCTGCAAGCCAGCTGATTGCCGCAGGGGAGGGAGGGGGAGGAGCGAGGACACGGCGTGCGGAGTAAAAGGGGGGGAGAGAAGAGGCAGGTTAAGGGTGGAAGCTTGGGGGAAAGGGTGGTGTGGGGGGGCCGAGGGTTGAGCCCCCCGCCTTTGGTGCTTGCAGAGTAGGGGAAGCTGCCACTGCGCAATATGCTTCTCCTAGCCTACAGCACCTCCAGCCTCCTTGCCTGCCTCATTGTCTGCAGTGCCAGTGGGCTGTGTGGGGTAAGGCGGGGGCACCTCCCAACTATAGAACTGTACTGTATGGCAAAAAACCATTTCCCTGGGACCTAACCCACCCCCCATTTACATTCATTCTTATGGGGAAATTGGATTCGCTTAACGTCGTTTTAGTTAAAGTCGCATTTTTCAGGCACAGAACTACAGCGTTAAGTGAGGAGTTACTGTCTGGGGTAATCTGCCCCCAAGAGTTAGAGATTGGCAGAAGCCTGAGGTTTTCTATCCTGTCCAAAGCTATTAGCTATTCTAACTGTGGTTAGTTTGGTTATCCCCAGAAACGTCCAGTCCCTCTTTGAAGCTTGCTACGTTCGTTCCCTCCTGTGGCATGGAGTTCCACAGTCTAATGTTACACGTGGAGTGAAAAAGTATTTCATTTGTTTCTAATTGGCTACCTTCATATGCCTTTCCCCCTGTTCTCGTGCTGCGAGACGGAGAGATCAGAAACTCCCACTCCCCCTTCTCTAGCCCAGTCATCATCTTGTATATTTCTATCGTGTCGTCTCTTATTCGCCTCCTCGCTAAGGGAAACAACTCCAATCTTTGCAGTCTCTCTTCAGCGGGAAATTTTTTTTTTTCCAGGCCCCTGATCATTGTCATCACCCATCTAATTCACCAACGTGCTAGCGTTTCTTTCCCGGGAACCAGTTGCTGGGGTTGCCATGGAGATCTCAGTCAGGAGCCAATGGGATGGGAGGTGGGGGACCACACAATGGTCAATGGTCCACAAACTGATCCCTACTAAGCAGTGTGCAGATCTGAGCTGGTCCCATTCTAGCAAACGAGCCCCCCTCTCCCAGCAGCAACAGTGGGTTTAAACAAAGACCGGAAGAGGTTTGTGACAGCCCAAGGGCACAGAGACAGGATAGTCCAGTGGTTACAGTACTAACCTGCAGCCGGTTCTGCTAGACGCCCCGTGAGACCATCGGCAAGTCACGTAGCCGCTCTGTGCCTGTTTCCCCAGATGCACAACAGGAATAACAGCACTGCCCTGCCTCCCGGGAGGATATATTAAAGACTGCGAGGCGCCCAGATGCCCCGGTGATAGGGGCTGGCTACGCAGGTTCAGAATTCCCTAGCCGTCCCCACACAGGGAAGAGAGGGTTCTTGGTACTGGCAGACCAGGGCAGAACCCGATCCAACGGCTGGAAGCTGAAGGGGCAGATTTTGCCCGATGGTGGCGATTAACCATCAGTGCAGCTACGTGGAGGGACAGGGCTGGATTCTCCAGCACTCGGAGCTGGGTGTTTCTCAGAGAGACTCAAGCTCACCCCCACGGGAGGCAGGGATCACAGGGGAAGTTCTCCGGCCCGCACTACCCAGAAGGGCCTTGAAATCTACCCTGATACGTAGGAGTATTTGTACCCAAACCAGACTCTGGCTGTTCTCAGGGCAGGCGATGGGGATATCGGCCCGCACTGTGCAGAGGGCTGAGATCAGCAATGGGGGACGCTGGCTAACGGGCCCAGCAGAATGCCAGGGTGGGGCATGATGCCAACGGGCAAGGCAAGGGCGGCACTGGTGTTAGCCGGGGGGGTTGCTCACCCGGTTCCGCCGCACGCCCGTCCCCCAGCAGCTCCGCCATGCCCAATGCCCTCTGGCTCCGTTACAGCTGGCCCAGAAGTACGACCCCCAGCGGGAGCAGGAGTTGCGGCTGTGGATCGAGGACATGACGGGGGAGCGCCTTGCAGACAACTTCATGGAGGGGCTGAAGGATGGCGTCATCCTGTGCAAGTGAGGAGCCTTAGGAGGAGGATGGGGGGGGTCCTGCCCTGCTCCCCAGCAATGGGGGGTTGGGCTCCGGCGTCGTTCTGCAAGACTTGGGGTGGGGGTATGACTGGAACTGGGCCACACTCCAACATCTCCCCTCCCAGCCCCGTGTCCCCCTCAGGAGGAGAGAGCGCCCAGGGAACCCATCTGCCGCAGGAGGGGCTCCCCCGTTGGAGTCAGCGCCGGCTGCAGCACTAGGGAGCGCTGTGCTACCGGAGGGTTTGAAGCACGAATGTGCCGTCCCTGCGGATCCCATAGTATTTCCTGCCGGACGTGGGGCGTTAGCCCAACCCCCGCGGCCACATTCAACCCAGGGCCATTCTACGGCCCACCCCCCCACCTCTAGTTTCAGCAGGATGTGGGCGTCCTCCCTGCTGCTCGCAGTCTGGCATGTGGGCCCTGGTTACCACCTCCTGCGCCCCACCCCAGAGCCAGCTGCCTCCCAGCGGCGGGTGACGCCATCGCCCTGCCGAACAAAACCCGTGCTCGGGCCTTCTCCTTTCAGACTCATCAACAAACTGCAGCCTGGCTCCGTGAAGAAGGTGAACGAGTCCACTCAGAACTGGCACCAGGTGAAGGCTCCCTCTGGGCTCTCGCTGCCCCGGCCGTGGGTCACACTAGACAGTATCCTTGAAGCTAGTCCAGCCATCGGGAGACTCTTCCCCGGCTATGTGTTGGGGTCCCAGGCTCCCTAAGGGTGCTGGGAGACACCCCAGGAAAGGGTGGGAGGTTGCCTGACAGGGAGATCGTTGTGGGCGGGGGAAGGGAGAAAATGGCACTGCAGCCTTCCTTGGCTGGAGCAATGGGTGGGCAGGGCAAGACCCAGCTCTCAGCCCGTCCACCACAGAGCCCTCGCCAGCACAGGGACGCGATAAGCAAAAGCCCCCGTGATTGGAGGAGAAAGCACAGAGCGTCACATCAGATGACAAGGAAGCAGGGGCCCCTCTCTGTACCCTGGGAAGACAAGACTTGGGGTCCTGCCTGGAGAGCTGCTGTGGAGCAGGGAGGGGTCACCAGAGGCTCAGCTGGGACGCTCCTGTAACACTGTAGGAATGGGGGGGTCGTCCGGTGCTGGGCTCGGGCGCGGTGGAGCCGCCGGGACACGCTGGCCGCTCTGTAACCACCTGCCGTCCTGCCGCAGCTCGAGAACATCAGTAACTTCATCAAGGCCATCACCAAGTACGGCGTGAAGCCACACGACATTTTCGAAGCCAACGACCTCTTTGAGAACACGAACTACACCCAGGTGCAGTCCACCCTGATCGCCCTGGCGAGCCAGGTGAGTCCGGCAGCGGCAGCGCGGCTCATCCAGGCCCCCAGCCCGGCCCCGCCCGGTGGGAGGTTCCTGGCATGTCGAAGGCACCCGACGAGACCTTTGGGGTGAGGCAGCGTCCCTTGGCAGAGACACAGGGCACGGGCATCCTTCCAGCCCCCTGCTTCGGGGGCACTGCAGACATGGCTGCTGATCAGAACCAGCCTCGGCCACTCCCCACACTCCACGCCAGACCCCCTCAGGAATCGGCCCCTGGTTTGCTGAGCATCAGCATGAGGGGCCAGAGCCGGCCAGGACGAGCTGGGCTGGAGGGATGGGTGGGACTGACGCAGCCCCGTGCCCCCCCGAAGGCACAGATTAATGCTTGAAGTCATTTCCCCCATGGGGAAGAGCTCCTCCTCTTACCCACCGACCGTGGCTCACAGCACCAGCCTTGGCTTTCAATCTAATCAGTGCCTGGGAACACAGGAGCTAGAGACGGGGCCGTGCGTGGGGGGAGACGGGAGCTGGTCTCCCCACTCCAGGCTGGGCCATGGGTTTCTGCAGCGGGGGGTGTGGGGGGCAGGGAGATTTACCCCTCCAGCCATCCCCACATGAGCCCTGGTTGTTCCCGCCTCCCCCCCCGCAGGCCAAGACAAAAGGCAACAAAGTGAACATGGGTGTCAAATACGCCGAGAAGCATCAGCGCCGATTCCAGCCGGAGAAGCTGAAAGAAGGACGGAACATTATCGGGCTGCAGGTCTGTGACTCCCCCTGCCACGCGGCCCCTTGGCAGCCCCGGGAGCTCAGAGATCTGGTCCCAGCACCATCCCGGGGTGGCCAGCTCGGAGCTTTCCACAGCCGCGAGGAAGCCCAGCTGATGCTGCTGAGATTTCTCTACGGCTCAGCCTCTGGAGTTACTCTGCCCCCTCGAGCGGCTGCAGAGCCCAGCCAGCCAGGGGCCACCCCAGCCCATATCAGGAGGTGCCCACTTGAGCCATCAGGCCCTTTTCTGCCACCTTAGCTGGGGCTTCTCTAATGTGTGACAGCCCCGGTTTGTGCAACACCAGAGATTTCCCCAGGACCGTCGGCGCTGAAAGCAGCAATCTGGTGAGCTTGAGGCTGGGCAGGAGACACCTGGGGCAACGGCCGCTCCCAAACCGCAGCCAAGCGTGGGAGCCGGCAATTCCTTCTTCCACCTCCCGGGGGTGGCTGGGGACTCCCACTCCCCCTGGGCGACATGGTGCCAACCCCTGGGGCAAAGCCTCATGCCAAGAGCAGAGATCGGGTCTCGCACACAGCCAGCATTAATCCACGCCCTCGGTTTCACTCTGCTTCTCCTTCCAGATGGGCACCAACAAGTTTGCCAGCCAGCAGGGCATGACGGCCTACGGCACCCGCCGGCACCTCTATGACCCCAAACTGGGCACAGACCAGCCCCTAGATCAGGCCACCATCAGTCTACAAATGGGCACCAACAAGGGAGCCAGCCAGGTAAGAGACGCAAGCCAAGGAGCAGGCGTGGGAGCGGGAAAGGGGCGTTAGCTCCGTGGGGCTCCCCCCCGAGCCTCCACGTCCCACTTCCTGGCATTCTTGAGCCTTCAGGTCTGTGCAGCGTCTCCCTTCCTGTCCAGCTAACCCCCCGCCTCTCCCCGCAGGCGGGCATGACGGCCCCAGGGACCAAGCGGCAGATCTTCGAGCCCACGCTGGGCATGGAGCACTGCGACAGCCTCAACGTCTCCCTGCAGATGGGCAGCAACAAGGGCGCCTCGCAGCAGGGCATGACCGTGTACGGGCTGCCACGCCAGGTCTACGACCCCAAGTACTGCCTCCAGCCCAACTACGCCATGGTCGGCGAGGACGAGTACAACCACAGCCAACACAACTTCTACAACTCCGAATGAGGGGCCGGGCCGAGGCCTGGACTGATCAGAGACACACGCAACCAGGACGCTAGAAGAAACTTTTTTAAAAAAAAAAAACAGCAAGTGATTACTTTAAAAAGAGGAATAAGAGGAAATCCCGACTGCTCCACGCAATGCTAAACTGCTCACAGAGGGTCCCCCAACCCAGCTTCCCCCAACCCTAGAAACAAACCCCAACCCCCGTCAGATTCCCCCCCCCTTATTTAAGTTGTTTTTCAATGTATAATCCAGCACTTGACAATGCACGGCCATAGAGCAAGGCTCAGTTCAATCAGGAGTAGTTGGGGTGGGGGGGGGGAAGGGTAGATGTAGCCGTGAAAAGCCAGAAACATTAGTGCTTTTTCACCATTAGCACCAGTGTCTCGGCTCTGAGACACTCACCCTGCCCCCACCCAAGTGCCCCATCCCCTTTCCTAAAGTAAGGGGAACAAACAAGTTGGTGAAATGAACCGGCCTGCGATTGCATTCACTGCTCTAGGTAGAGTGCTTCCTGCTTGACTGTCCAGGTATCCCCCCTCCTCCCAGGCACCCACCCTGCAATCCCAGGTGTGTAACACCCCTAGCGGTAAAAAGCAACGGAGGGTCCTGCGGCACCTTTAAGACTAACAGAAGTATTGGCGCATAAGCTTTCGTGGGTGAATGCCCACTTCATCAGACGCAAGTACCTAGCGGTAGTGGCCTGAGCGGAGCAAACACGCGGGAGGGACGGGACTAGCGGTACAGAAGGAGACGGAGCACATTCAAGTTTAAACACATGCACTCCCCGGTCTCTGTCAAAGATTCTCCTAACATTTCTGGGCTTTGAAAAGGGACAGATGCCATTTCTGTAAATAAGATTCTCCGTGTGTGTATATAAGAGACCCACTCTATATACACCCCCCCAACACACACACACTTTCCATCTACCACCAGGACAGCACCCTCGACTAACAAGTTTTTGTGTCGGCAGGTTTTCCAGTTGCAAGAGAAACCCTCCCCCCCGCACACGAACACTGTTGAGCTCCTGGAAGCGTAACCTGCTCATCCACCTCTGCTATTGCCCATGTTGGTAGGAGTAGTTTGGTGACAATCTAATGTATGGGGAAAATAAGAGTGTGAACTACTGAGATAAGCCACTACATTTCCTACAAGATGGGCTGCCTTTAAAAGCCTAGGAGTATTTCCCTTCCTCTGCATGCTGGCAAACTAAACACTTTTTAAAAAAAAACCTCCAGATCAAGTGATTTATAAACTGATATTACAGCAGTTTGTAATTTTCTGCTGATGAGCACTTTTTAATCTCTCACTGTGGCACAATAAAACAAGGAACAAAAAAAAAAATCTATATTTTCTAAACCTATTTCTAATCTTATTTAAGAGCTTCCTGGACATTTGTCTTCGTTGCTGAAGCCTGCATATAAAAGGGAAGGTCAAAATGAGATCTAGTCAATTGCACAAAGCCAGTCATATCCAAGTCCTTTGTTCTGTTGCGGTTTGTGGTGTGACCACTTTTTCCACGTGCCGCTCTTGTGTGAAGGGACCTGTCTTGCGTACCTGTCTGGCCCAGCTTACCGTATTATTCTTATTAGAGCACCTAACAATAATCCTCAGCACAAATAGCCCCCATTTTAGAGATGGAGAAACTGAGGCCTTTTAAACTACCTGACTTGCCCAAAGCCACAACGGAAGGTTGTGGTGGGGCAGGACCTACCCCACATCTCTCGTCGGCACCCCAACCCCGGGAACATCCTTCTTCTCTACGGAAAGTGCTGTCAGAAGCACAGGCGAACCAGAGAGAGAAAAACCACCTTTGTCTCCCCTCCCCGACGCTGATTTCTAGCACTCTTGGGTTTACAAGCGCATAGATCGGGTACAATGACGCAGATAGAGGTTCAGGCCCACAGCGTCCCTTTAACAGAGGAGGCTGCGTAGACAATACCGACAGCTAGGCGGATTTCCCTCCTCCCAGATGCCTGGGTTGACGCAGGATAGTTGTCAATGTCTGGTCAGGCTAAAGATGAACAGAGAGTGTTTAAATGCTTTGAAGATAAGAAGCTGTCTATAAATGCTCATTTTCCAGCATGCATCAATGGTAGGGATGAGTTAAGGCTCTTAAGCCCTGCCCTGGCTTTCCTCCCGGATGGATTTACCCCCTTTTACCCCCGTGCGGCAGGGAAGGGAAGGGCCGGCCGACCACAACCCTCCCAGCTCTGTCTGTAAACCCCATTACCAGCCGGTGCACAGGGCTCTAGCCAGTAATTCAGCACTTATACAGAAAGGCTTTGATACCCGCCCACAAACGCTGCCGGACATCTCAGACCCAGATCCTTCAACACAAACTTGACACTTTAGCTTCGGGGAAGCAGCGGCTGCTCTACTTGCTGTAAGATCGGCCACCAGGGGGTGATGTGTACACACGCAGGCCAAAGTAACCGCTTACACAGGCACAACATCATCCACCTCTGTCCTCCTCAGGCCGTCACAGGCAGACGGATGCTCCTTAGACACCCCCTATCCCCCCTTAAAAGCCACATTACCCCTCAGAAGTCTAGACAAGCGCTTTGCAGGGCTACAACGACGTCTGGATCTATGTCACAAGCCGTTGGCACTGCAGGGACAGTCCCTCCATAACTCTTCTGGTTACAAGTCTCCGTACCAGGTCCAGGAGAGTTTGCGATTATGTTCTTGACATGACCCGTAGCAGCCATAGTAAAATGCAAGCGAGACACCGCGTGGCCCTGTTTCAGGGGGTTCCTGTTAAGGTCTTCAAAGGAAAGGGCAAATGGCACGCGTGCCTTGGAGGAGCGAGGTAGCCCAGCCCCACGGAGGTAATGCTGCAGCAGGGCTGGGAGTGGGGGAAGAGAGACGCCTTACTTCCCGTCTTCATCCGCGAAAGAAAACCGGAGTGTGGGAAGGAACAGGTTGCACGCCAGGATTTTAGAAGACCACACCAAGAATTGATGCTACAGGCCTGTTCTCCGCTTAAAACCAACACCGGTAAAGCTATATCGGGGGGGAGGTGGGGTTGAAAAAACAAAAACCCTTCAACTCCCATAGCTACGCCAACAAAACCTCCAGTGTAGATGCAGCTATGTTGACAGAAGACGGCTTCTGTCGACGGCGTTTGGGGAGGTGGTGTCCCTCCCCCCGCAGAACTACTTCCGCCGGCGTAGGCTGCGTCTATGCTCTGGGGCCATGCGGGGATAGCCTAGGTCCCGCTTTGGTGTGGGGGCCTGGAGTAGACGACCTAGCGAGGTCCCTTCCAGTGCGACATGGCTAGGATGCTATGCCACGCTACAGAGCCGGAGAAGGAAACATTAAGGGAGAGAGGGAGGTTTAAGCGCTAAGTAACCTCCTCCCTCCCCAGAGCACGTCGCATACTCTTTGCGCTGTTACTACCTGGCTGCAGCGGTTCAAGGCCACACTGGCTCAGGCTGGAAGTCACGAGGAGAGTCTGAGTGACCGGCCTTTTGCCTCTGCAAGCGATGGGCTCATGCAAGGCCACCAGTGAAGAAAATTTGTTGGGTCTCTGGCTACTCCGCCCTTCAAACCGCCATCTAGCTCAGGACGACTTGCAGGGTGTGCTCACGAGAGCCCCAAGCCCGGAACCAGGGGGCGAGGATTTCCACGGAGGGACATAGGCAGGCCTGGGGCAATGGAGACGGGATGATGATAGCACGGGAATAGCAGGGGAGCAACGGGCCAGAATGGAGAAGGATGAGCAAAGCTGTGCATGCAGGAAGTCTAGGGCAAGGATGGCAGGGGCCTGGGTGAGGACTGAGGGGGCAGGGCTGGGCTAGCAGGGGGCTGTGGGTCAGGACTGAGGGGCACGGGCAGAGATTCATAAGCAAAAATCGCTCAGCCAGGCCCCGCAGCCAGTGTTATCAGCCCCTGCCCTGCGAGAGTCACATTCCCCCCAGCTTCTAAAGGCCACAACTGAACTGTTTACAGCACATGGAGCAAAGTGAGAAGGGCCCAGAGAGCTCTCCCCACACCACCACTCGTCAGGGCCCAGCTGTTTTACGAGCTGTTTACCCAGCAGAGGCTTCCCGCACTAATCGCGCCTGCTCAGCTGATTTTCTTCCACCACAACTACTCACGCTGCAGCCTTTTGTCCTTCGCTGGACCGCAGCCCCGTGTACAGCGGCGGCTCATTGCGCTGAGCGAGGAAGCCTGCGTTGGCCATTCCAGGATCACCGAACACGCCTCCCCTCTAGGACACTGCGTCAGCTACAGCCTGCGGCCCGGGGGACTCAGAGCCTTGCTGCCCCGAGCCCAGCAGCTGACTCGGGCAGCCCATGCTACAGGGCTAACGTGAGCAGGGTAAACGTTGCGAGTGGGGCTGGAGCCCGGGCTCTGAATCCTGGCAAGGGGGCCAGGTCTCGGAGCCCAGGCAGGAACGGCTACGCTGCTATCTTTAGCCCCACAGCGCAATCTGCCCCAGGCTCCGAGACTCACTGCCGTGGGTTTGTTTGGGTTTTGGTTGTTGACATACCATAAACGTTCAGTTGTCCAAGAGCTAGAGGGGATGGGTAAGGGGCAGTAAATCAACAGCTGTGGAATCCTAGCAGTTCCGTTCGGCTCTTCAGCCTTGCAAGGCAGAAACCCCACATACTCGCAGCACATTTCAGAGATTAACCCCCATTTTACAAAAGGGGAAACTGAGGCAGAGCCGGGAGGGAATTTGCAGAGATGGGAAAAGTACGCAGCATGTCCCACTACCGCTGCTTGTCTCTCTCATACAGGCATGTGGCTTGCGCAAACGCCCGCCTGCCTCGGGGAAATGAGTCCGGGCACTCGGCCCAGAATCCATGACACCAACGACAATAAAGGACACACGAAGACCACTTCCCCCCATAATGGCATTTATTAACGGGACATTCTACCACTGCAAACAATTTCTAAAGAGTCCCCCCTCCCAAAACAAACCCCAAACGAAACCAGGACAGCCGCTTGCTACACCCTTCTTTGCACCCACAGACAGGGAAAGGTGTCCAAACCCAGCCTGGAATTCAGAACAGCTAATCCCCAGCCCATGCAGCTTCCCAAGGCAGGGGCTTGTAAATCAATCAGTGTCCAGGAAGGGGCTCCAGGCGCTGCTGGTACCATCCAGGAAGATCCAAGGAAACCTCTTCATACAGTAAGAATTTCCTCAAGTTAAAAGCAGTAGGTAAAAGCCAAGGGAGGCCAAGGTGGCTAATTTAGCCCATCCTCCCATCCCTTCTCTCACTCCGATTCACATGCCCCCTGGCAAACAATCCTCTGCCCATTCACTCCAGGCCCCAAATCAGTTCAGCCAGGGATCTGCCACCACCTTAAAACTCAGTGGCGCCAACGGCTGAGCGATTGCCTCTTGCGAGCCCCTGAGTAACTGCGGCATCAGAACACAGGCGAACGTTTTGAATCTAAGAGAGA